CAAATTCAAGGTTCGGTTTGACTAGGCTCTGTCCTTTACTAACGTAATGGCGGAGGACTTCGTAGGACGCGGGGAGGTCCAGATGCCTGTTGACAGAGTTGGCCCCTGAGTACCATACCTCAATCGTTAGTTTTTTCGCATTTGAGGTTCTCCGGCGTACAATGGTCGCGCCTTGAATATCGAAGTTGTGGTCACTCTCTCCGATATGGGTTGCAAGCTGCGACCCTGCGCCCCGTTTCTCCAACGTAATTGTAGTCTCCATCGTTGCAACGTATTTTGTAGACAACCACGGAGTTTTCAGTAGGAGGAAGTCTGTCTTTAGGTTGCATCACTCGGCGTCATATTGTCGCCTGAGGTCGATGGGCTATGCCTACTCCAGCGGGTTGTTACAGTCGAGAGACCGCTTCAGAGAATCTTTTTATGTAGAGAATGGCCTTTCAGACTCTGGGTTGCTATTCTGTTGCCCGTCGTCTATTCACTCGCCGTTTGCTTTCATTGATGAATGAATTAGGGTATCCGTTAGCTCGAAAGAGGTCACGTAAGCATTGTTCTTCCGCTAGGTTGCGATCTTCAGGCCCGGTTCCGTGTGGGAAGAGGATCAGTGGACGCCAGATGGGGGGAATACTCTATTCTCTGCAAAGGTAGTGAAGAATAGGTTGGAGGAATTTGACAGCTGGACGAGTGCACGGCCACGCGACCGGGTGTGTGAACGTGGCAGTAGTCATAGTGGGATTCTGTGTGAGTCAGTTCTGAAGGTGATTGACCAGAATCGGCCAAGTTGTACTCGCTGATGGGGAGGGACGACAGATAATGCAAACAGATTGATGAACTACTGTCATGGGCTTATTTGACCTTCATTCAGCCAGCCCTAACCTTGAATGCCAGCAGAGATCAGAAAAAAAGGATGGTTAAATCTTCGGTTTCGAAAAGATGTGTAGTATGTTGACGAAGGGATGGTGAATTGCGATTGACATAGATTACAGTGATAGTAGACTTACGCAGCATCTACTGCAATATCTCCTACCCATCTGCGTCCGGTCAAGAAGACCGGAGGTGGGAGAAAGCGCAGATGACTGGCGTGGTCGGAGCCGCTTCTAAGTTTGTCGCCATGCGGAAACATGAACATGCGCTCATACACATTCTTTGTGTTGGCGGAGCGAGCGGGAACGAGTTCCTTTCCAAGGCAGTCAAAAATGTACGCGAGATTCCTCCCAGCTACATATAAGCTCTAAATTATCTTTCATAATTGATTATTGAAGCTTAAGCAGTCCTGGTTTTACCTTCCCGCATATAACTTATCCTTAAAACCCTCATAAAGCCCAACATAACCAGCTGGTATATATAAGTGTAAAATTTTGCGGGTTAAAAAGAGGCAACTTTTAATTACCGGAAGAAAACTCAGACCGCTTCCTAGAAAAAAAAGTATTTCGAAAGGAAGCCTATTCGTTCAAAAGAAAGCGAACTGCATTCGACATCAGAGAAGCATTTAACTAAAATATTTGTTTGACATTGATAGCATACTCAGAGGAATTGACAAAACTGAAGAAGTCGACCTTTTAGCTAGTCAAGGCGGGGTTTTATAGACAAATTACATCCCCACTTAGGGCTTAAGCCGAGCTAAAATTGCCGCCGCTTGTTGCGTTTCTGCCAGAGTTCTCGACGATTGTCCGCGAAAGGACGACAGCTGAGCCATTAGGGAGGAGGCTAAGGGATGCAAAATGAGATTCTTGCAGTGGCTTAAGTTAATAGGTAAAACCCTTGCCGCTGCGATCTTCAGGCCCGGTTTCGTGTGGGAAGAAAAACAGTGAGACATCAGATGGGCGCGATAGTGTATCCTGTGCAGGGACAATGAAGAATAGGTTGGAGGAAGTTGGCAGTCGGACGAGAGCACAGCCACCCGCGAGGGGGCCGGTGTCTGAAGTGGGAGTGCGCGGGAGTCATCACAGTGCTGTCATGTGTGAGTAAGTCTTGAAGGTGATTGGCCAGACCGGATTGGGGTAGGCAGGCACTGGTGCATGCGCACTTGCTAGCAGCTGTGCGAGGCGACAGTTCGCAACGCCTTTCTCACTTGAATATTTTCATACTTAACCACGTCCACATAGAAGGAAACCGCCCAACAGTGTTCAGTTCAGTTCAGTTTTATTAGGGAAATATAGGTAAATACCTT